TTTTTTTTTTTTTTTTTTTTTTTTTTTTTTTGTAATAATAATTATTATTGTTATTATCTTTATTATCATTATCATTACTATTATTATCAATGTTCATTTTAGAAGCAATTAAAGCCGCCCAAGTCAAAGCAGATCTTGATGACCATCATTATTCTTCAGTTATCTGTTACTTATTTGAACTCAGATTCGTCAGGAGGCTAACGGTTAATTCTTCAAACTATTGAAACGCTCTCTAAAGCATTTTGAACACCAACTAACAATGACACCAAAAAATAAGATCTTGAAAAAAATTTGCCAAAAAACACGTTCATTTATCGTCAAAATGATAAGACTGTCATTGAAGTTGTCAGAACAGTCTTAATCCTCTGCCCTAATCACGAATTCAGCTAAACCACATAAAATCCGCAACAAAAAAAAAAAACTAATTAATTTTATAATCAAAATCCCATGTCAGTAAAATTAGATAACGTTCCCTTGTTTATAAATGTCCAGTAAAAAAAACAATAAAATATTTGCTTGATCAGCATAAATTGTTTTCATTTTTAAAATAAGCAAAATTTTTGTATTTTATTCTTATAGATTTTGTTATCAGCAACAAAAAAAAAAAAAACTGCTTTAGTAAATTATGTTGCAGTTAAAACATTCATCATCTACCTGTGCCAATTTTACTTTTATTTCATATAAAAGTCTATAAATAAAAAAAAAGCTTAACTTATTTTTTGAACAGTATCTGAAAATTATCCGATAAAATCACCGCTATACGTTGACGTTTTGCTCAATTCCGAGTGCAACAACTATGATTATAACTGTTGGTTTCATAGAAAAATCCAAACAGTCTGGATATGAAGACAAATGCTGTGCAAATTGAGCAAAATTTGCTCGAATATACAGATCAAAATAAAAAACTAGGAACAATACAGTTTATTGACTGTGTTGGTTGATGAAACGCTTTACAAATATTACAAAGTATCTTTTGTTAACAATAGTGAAATATGGCAGATGAAAGAAGCAAAAACTAACAAATATCTATCAATCGTACTTTAAGAAATAACCACTAACTATTCTTTAGTAACCTAACTCAGTAACAACCAACAAATGAACGTGAATGTGCTAACTACACGATAGTGGCAACAACTCTGTAGGCAGGACAATAATAATAAGTAGTAAAAAAAAGAGAACAAAAAAAATAGAAGTTTCTGATTACACAACACATAAAGCTGCTGCCGACTACCCTTTAATTGCTTTCCCGTCGAAAAAGATCAAAAAAAAAAGAAAAAATATTTTGTTTTACGCATAGGTGATTGGTGAATAAGTATCTTCTAACGATCAGCTCTTTTTATGTCCAAAACTGGTGTACCATCTAGAGCTTCCAAAGCATTTACTCGAAGTTCTGGCTGACAATCCTTAGTTTGTATGTCCAATACAGTCACCTCGTGAAGTCCAATTGGATTTGGACGTGCCGGACTGCGACTATTAAAAACTCCACGTGGTTGTTTCCAATGTACTTTGTTCCTACATCCTTGAAGAAATGTACGGTCAGATTTGTGAAGCCACGTGATAAGCAGAATCTTTTGACCCACTGTAACGCCAACTAATGCAGGAGCATATTCGGATTTGATTTCAATAATTGCTTCTGGTCCACTGTCCTGCCAGTGTGGGCAGTCTTCGAGCCTTTTAAGTGGAGATCGTACCCACCCAATGATGCGTGGTGTGATCCCTAATTGTTTTGCATCGTCATCCGATGGTAGGCACTTAAGTTTCACTTCTTCCATGCCTTTTCCTTAAATGAATAATCTTCTAACTAAATCTGAGAAGCCGTAATGAATAGCATAAACAGTTTTTCACTATTCTGCTTTTTTCACTGTTTTGATCAACAATATTTTAATCAAGTTCTAGTCACTAACAGACTGAAACATTACTATGACTTTCGATTGTAATAATTAAGTTCTTCGTCTCTTCTTAAGCAAATTGATTTATTTTATAGATTGTATTTGTGTGTGTTTCTGTAGACGACTTCGAAGAATCGATAAAACTACAGCTCTGGATGAGTGATAGACAGAAGACGAACAGTGGTGACAAGAATTATGATCTGAAGTTGGTAAGCTTCTGGGACAACAATTCTTTCCGTTCTTCTTTCAAAACCTGAGTAAATCAGTGTAAACAACAACGTGTCGTAAGGCTAGAACGAAAAACTCCTATGCCTGATCAGATAGGTCAAATACTTAATAAGAGATCAATGTTTTTTGTTGCTGTTAATGGCGAAAAGCAATTTGAAAATTCTTTTTTAGACACCAATGACGAACAGACGATCAAAAAATAAAAAACTCAAGGTTATGTAAATCGGATACAGATGCAACAGGTATAAATTGATTTCACTTCAATTGCAAGGTGCAGCCACACAGAGTCACCAGTATTGCTGTTACTGTTGCTACTGCTGATGATTGTCGTATAGAAGGACACTTGAATAAAATAAAGAAAAAGGAAGTTTGATTTATCAGTTAGCCAAAAAAAAAAAAGCTCCTCATCAATGACGAAAGACGAAGGACATTTTTAGCATACCAGTTCTGGTGTTTCAAGGACAGAACAGTACTTTACACTAGCTACAAAGCGATAACAGCAAAACTGTTACATATCGAAACTGTCGTCATCCTCAACCAAAGTCTTCTACAAACTGTAAAGCGTCTGTATCTGTCTCTGTATCTTTTGCAGGTGGAATTGAATGAAGGAAGTTTAATAAAGACGAGTTTTAAAAAATGTAGAAATAAAAAGATGTGTGAAGTTGGTCCGATAAAAACAAAGACGATAAAGAAATTTGAGCAAATAAGGTACGTTTTTTTTAAACAACATCAACTGTAAGAAACTCAAAATTTTATGCCCCATACAAAAAAAATATGAAGAACAAAAGTAGAAAAAAAGGAAAGCTGATAAACGACAGTTTGACGAGACAGAAAACAGTCACTTTTCTAAACTGCTGAATATATTTAATGTTAAAGCAAAAAAAAAAATCTAGAAAAAAAGTTTTTTCATTTAATTTTTAAAACTACAATTTTTGAGTTGTTTCGTCTTTTAAATGACCATAGACGAAAAGAAAAGGCAAAAAGAAAGAAAAAGAGATAGAAAATATGAAGAATTTAAGATGAAAAAGATTTAAAATGATTTACTGGACTGATCTATGTCCGAAAACGAAAGTGATCCTGTTGAATGGCCTCCAACAGAGGATGACGAACCATCGAAATCCATTTTTGACATCGTTATACCAAACTGCTGCCTCAACAGTTTTACAGATTTAATGGATGACCATCCAAAGAGTGCAAATCGTTGACCGCCAATGATGATAACCACAGGTCACCCTGAGAAAAAAATAAGTTTCTTCGCTATTCAACCAGCAGACATAATGATATTAAAGACAATATCAATAATGATAACAGCAATAATTTTCACCGTTAATGTTGATATTAGCAGCAATAACAAAGGCAGTGATGACAACAATAACAATAACAATAAGAAAAAATTTGTATAGGCTTCAAAAAATGATCAGAACGTTCATGGAGAACTGCTGAAGCTGCGTGTTTTAGTAATAATAATAGCTTCAATACTGCTAGAAGTTTTTCGCAGAACTGCTGTGAAATTTTTTTTTTGCCGAATAAACACCGTTAAACGTTAAGCCTCTAACAGTGTTCATAACCATATTAGCCATAACAAAAAAGAAGGAAAAAAAAGCGATTAACATTCGATAACTACAGCTAATCACGTTGGTAAACCTACATCGTTACTGTAACTGTTTGGTTCATATGGCTACATAACGATAACAACAACGACGACGATGCACAAAAGTATTCCATCGATATAGGCAATAATTAAATAACGCTATGTAATACACATAAATGCATCTATTAAAAAGACAGTAGAAGGAAGACTGAAGTGCAACCAAACAATGGTAAAAAGATGGTAAAGTTGGCTACATCGAAGTTAACTCAGCACAAAAAATTACAGTTGGAAAAAGGGAAAACTTATGTTAATTCTTTAAAAGTGTAGCAATAACGGCAACAAAAATAACAAAAAGGGAAAGACCAAATTCTTAAGCCGTTATGTAACGAACAAACAAAAAAGTTGTTCCCCGTAACCTTTCTTCTCAACAATTTACTCTCATCAGAATGACTGTGAAGAAAAAAGAAAGCGGTTAATTGAAACATTTAAAAGTTTTTAACTTCTAAATTATTTTCATTTTTCTGTTTGAACTGGTAGTTCAATCGGTCTTAGAATCTAAGTGGTATTCGTTGCCATTCATCTTCCTGTACTAGCACTCCCTTACTTTTCTTCCACCGCCAAAAAATAGCAATTTTGACAAGTTTATCCCAGAAAAAAGATTCCAATGATTAAACACGTTTTAGAATTAACCAAAAATTACAAACAAATTCAACATTTATCGATATGACGGTAACGCAACTTCCCCCAGTTACTTAGTGTAAGTTAACAATACGCATTCATCTGGACCTTCCTGTGTCAACGATGAGCAATTAACAAGAGATCTTTGAGCAACCGCACTTCTCACCATTAATCATTTTGTCGACACCAGATTCCTCAAAAAAATATTTAGTTCAAAGAGTGTAAACGAATACTGTCTTCGGATTGCAGATTCACCATATAATTTAGTAGAAATTCATTGATAGCATCCTCACAATGTTCGCTCATTCAGCAGCTAAACATTAAAAACTAAAAACTGCTTTGCATCATTCACCTATATCCAACCAGTCAATAATTTAAAACCGGAGATAAAAAAATCTAATAGATTTCCGGCAGCAGCAGCAAAATAAAAAAATTAATTTCATCCTTCTATTTGGATATACTTTATAATGTTTTAAAAAATTTTTTAAAAAGCCATTTTTTCTACGCCACATTATTATTTATGATGACTGACGATGAGAATTCCATTGTTACTATCGGTGGTGCTTTCACCACCGTTAATCAAGACAAAAAATCATTAATTATATGTAAGGTTCATCGCACCAAACTATTAAAACCTAAAAAGCCATGAATCAAAAAGAAAAAAAAAATCAAACTGAAAACAAATCTTGATAACTCTGAAACAGCTGAAAAAACTGTTTCAATAACTGTCCATAGCCCAGTTAAAGTACAGATAAAATATTTATAGGTAATATTTACATACTAATTGTATGAATACGGATAAATCAAGGCGGTAGTTAACGTCAACATGAAAAGATTTATTATATTGTTGATTTTACTCTCAAAAATCAAACCATTCAAACCCCTTCCAAGTGAACAACTATAAGCACTGTTTTTCATCGATTGTGTCGGGCGAAAAAACTTTTTCTTTATAAATCAATTTTCTTATCTTCTGTACATCAATTCCATCTTGGCGGAGAGGGGAGACGACGCACAGGGAAAAAAAATAAGAAAAAAGTTCAGTTTTTGTCATTATCTTCATTAAAAACAACAGTATAGGTTTTTTCTACCTCCTTCCTACCTTTTTTCCCTAAATGCGCAACTGCGTAAACAGAACAATTAATATCGTCGACTAGTACAAAAGGAGACCAGTAATACGATGAGAACGAGTGGGGGAAAATGAAAAAAAAAAAAGGAAAATATATTATCGCCGAGTAGCAAAAATGGGCAGAGAATTCCTTCCAATGCCTTAAAAAATTTGTCTCAACTGCAGCATAAAGAAGTACTCTTTTTTCTCCTCTTCAACGCCGTAATTCCCATTCTCCATTACCCAGTCTTCCACTTCTTTAACAACGGAAGAAAACGGATATTCACAAACCGCATCAACAAAACGGAATGAATACCGCATTGACAGTTCCGTAAAAAGCCCTGACAAACGTCAACAAATAAACGGCCGGAACTACAACTGAAGTCAGATGACCTTCAGTGTCTGCAGCTTTAGCAATCAAACCAAAGGAAAATGTCACTTCTATTGTACAACCTCTGCTTTTCTTAAGTTCAATAAATAAAAGTTATATCAGTGCTTAGAAGAAGTCTTTTTTTTTCCTTTTTCTTTTTGCAAATAACTTTGATAATTGGTTTTATAATTCCAACTATAGAAACGTGCTTACCCTTCCTCGTCGATATTGCAGAATAATTTCGCGTGGTAAAGGTTCAAGAGAATACGGATTATTCTATAAAATGATTGCTTTTTACGCAAGGCAAAAAAAAAAAAATAAAAAAATAAAATAAAGTTTATATAAGCTTTTTTCACAAACCGCATCACTTATTTATGCATTTATCTTCATTGAACGTAGGTGCAAAACATTTATGATAAACAAAAAAAAAAAAAATGGTTTGTTGAAAAGAAGGCAAATAGGCAGCATTATATCAGTTATTTGTGCAAATATGAAGCATCCATATCCATTGTTTCTTTGCCCTCTCACATTGATATATATATCAAATATAAAAAAAAATGTACAAATATATATATATATATATATATATTTTTTTAAATACACTGGCATAAATTTATAGAATACATACAAAACGATACTGAAAAAAACAGATTATTTGCTTTAACAAAATAAC